GTTTTGGCTCAGGGCTCCGGGGCTTCAGTCCGTGCTGGCCAGGCCCCGCTGCCTTGGGCCTGTGGCAAGGCAGTGCCATGGCAGAAGTGTGGGATAGAGCACAGCTGCTCATCCCATGAGAGCTAGGAAGTAGATAGGAAGGGCCCAGGGTTCCAGTACCCCCCTTTAAGGGGTATAGGCATGTGCCAATGACCAAATTTCCTCCCACGAGGCCTCATCTCTTAAAGGTTCTACCATCTCCCAATAGCACCACAAGCTAGGCACCGAGCCTTTAAAACACAGGATTTTTCAAATTTTTATATGTATTAGTACATGTTTGCAGTACATAATAATTACATTCATCATGGGGAGTTGGTGCATGTACATAACACATCTCAATTCTTTTCACTTTCCCTTCTTCTCTCCTACCCCCTCCCTCCATCTTTTGGTTTCTTCCCTATTTGCAAAAGATCCATCCCCCTGTTTTCTATTATCTATCTTTTATTTTGCTCCTTAATTTATTTATACTTTGGGTTTCTCATTTACATTTGCAATATTTAAGCCTGTATGTCTGATTTATTTCACTTAATATTATGGTCTCTTTCTGGAGTAAGACAGAATCTCAGGGTTGTTTTAATTTTCGTTTCTCTAATGGCCAGTGTACCAGTCAGTGTTTACTAAAGAAACAGATTTAACACAAGACACACAAATGTGTAAGAATTTACAAGACAGGCTTATGATGGTCTCCCACAGAGTTGGATGTGGGTGAGGGCAAAGGGTGTCTACACACCAGAGACCGAAGAATTCAGTCAAAGGTCTGGAGCTCACTGTGAGTCTGCGTCAGGAGGCCTATGGGTCTGCGATGAAAGGCTGAAGAGTCCGCACCAGAAGGCTAAGGGTCTGAGCCCCAGGGGAAAGAATCTGCGCTGGAAGCCAGCAGATGACATCCAAGGTGAAGGCGAAGACTGGAGCTCCTCAGAAGAAACACAACCAGATCTACCCTTCATTTCCCCTTCACACATCCAGGTGCCGAGCCAGCGCGGGTGGTCCTCCACACCCTAGAGGGTGCAGCTGCTGAGCCGATTGAGTTAAGCTTCTCTTACTCACGTCGACACAATCCATCAGCCATCACGGCCAGAAATGTTGAACATTTTTGCAGGTATTTAGTGGCTATTTGTACTTCTTTTGAGAGGAGTCTATTCATTTTGGTTGCTTATTGTTTGACTAGGTCTTTTATTTTGGATTTTTTGGGGGGTATGCAAGATTCAAAAAAAAACAAACAAAAATAGGAATGGTTGCTTTCCATATTTTCTAGGTTGTAAAAGTTAGCCAGGAGGGCTGGGGATATAGCTCAGTGGCATAAGCGTCTGCCTAGCAAGCACAAGGTTGTGAGTTCGATCCCCGGTACTGTAAAAAAAAAAAAGAAAGTTAGCCAGGATTATTTAGGACGTGGTTCTAAGCTGCATTAGTGGAGCAAATACAAAATGCCGCCCTCCTCCCAGGTCAAAAGGCAGTGCTCACAGGCTGCACACCCATCTGGGTCGCTGTCCCCTCCAGCACCCAGGCCGGCAAATTGCCTGCACCGTGGCACAGGTCAAATCAGGACATCAAGGTGGCTCTTCTCTGACCAACAGGGGCCGTGCCCGCCTGGTGGTGCCGCGCTGGGAGCAGCAGAGCTGGAGCGCGGGCCAGACCTCCACACCGCACTCTGAGACGGGGCTAGCTTACTGATAGGCTGCTGCGCCTGAATACTGACAGTGAGTGCGGTGGACGTCGAGAAGGGCTCTACTCGGATGTGGGTGGTGCTCACCACCCCACTGCTGGGGCCTGACCAGTCTCAGAAAACCACGTGAAGAAAGTGGTGATAAACACGACAGGAAGTCGGAATGGTGCGGACACCCACACACCAGTCTCTCGTGTATCCATACCCACAGTTAACGACAGTAACAACAATGATAAAAGAAGTACAGACAAGAAGCCGCGCTCAGGTTATGCGGTCACCAGCCAGGAAGCGTGTGTTGACTGGCACGGGACATAGCAAGTCTTTCTTCAGGTCCCTGGATTCAAGGAGCTTCAGCCGTTCCTGCACCGTCAGGCCTTCCCTCAGACTCTTGGACCTGATATTTCCGACACAGGATCTGTCTTTCTTCAGAAAGTCAGTATTGCTTTTAGAGTTCATTATGTCACATCCTGTCACAGCAGTGCTGTGGGAGACTTTTCCCCCAGTGCTTCTGTAGCCGCTTTCAGCTGCTCTTCCCACCTGCTGGTATCAGTCTGCCGTGGCCTTCGCGATGCTGAGCTCTGTGTAAATGTCTTTGCATTTGTCACTAGCATACTTTTTGTCCTGTAGTGCTGTCTGGACTCATCCTTGAGAGAGCTGATCTCCTGTTTCAGATACTGTATTTCTGATTCCTTGACCTGCAGCGCGAACTGGAGGTCCTCTCAGAGCAGTACTCGCAGAAGTGCCTGCAGAATACCCACCTGGCCCAGGCTCTGCAGGCTGAGCGGCAGGCCCTGCGGCAGTGCCAGCGCGAGAACCAGGAGCTCAGCGCCCACAACCAGGAACCGAACAACCGCCTAGCGGCAGAGATCACACGGTTCCGGACACTACTGACTGGGGCCAGCGATGGGAAGGCTGCTGGGTCCCCCTCACACAGGGAAAGGATGCCTATGAGCTAGTGGTCTTATTGCTGGCCTTATTGCAGGTCAAGGAATTGGTTGTTTCCTGATGTTATTTCTTATGCAATTGGAGTTCTGTTCAGGAGGTCATTGCCTATGTCTATGTCTTCAAGAGTTCTGCCTATTTTATCTTCCAGCATGTTAAGTGCTTTGTTTTAATATTTAGATCTCTAACCCATTTTGATTTTAGTTTAACATACAATAAGACATATGGATCTAGAATCAACCTTTTGCAGGTGGATAGCCCGTTTTCTCAGCACTATTTGTTAAATAAGCTACCTTTCCTCCAGCGTATGTCTTTGGCCTCTTTGTCAGGATCAGATGGCTGAATGTGCCCGGAGCTCTTCCTGCATTCTCTGCTCTGTTCCGGTGATCCACATGTCTGTTTTTGTGCCTATATCATGCTTTTATTGCTGTAGTTTTGCAGTAGAACTTGACATCCAGGATTGCGATGTCTCCTGCTTTGTATCTGTCGCCCAAGAGTGCTTTTGCTATTCTGGATCTCTTCTGGTTCCATGTAATACATGGAACTTTGAGGGACATTTATCCAAGCCATAATAGTTGCCTTAAAATAAGAAACCATTCGACACATCCAGCCCAGGGAAAGCAGGGGCTCTGTAACCCCGTCCTACTGCCAGCCGTCAGGGGAAGAAACACAGCTGAAGTGGTGGAGGAGGTCTCCGACTCTCCTCTCCCTACTGCGCATGGCTCTCTGTTAGCAACTGTGTCATTCTCCCTTGAAAGTCTTTAATAGTAGAATTTCACTGTCAGGGAAATGGAACATTAGTAAAGGAGGAAAACACTTCATGTTACAAAATTTTCCCATCAGAGTGATGCTTTAAAATCCTTTAAGTGGGCCGGGGATATAGTTCAGTGGCACAAATGCCTGCCTGGCAAGCACAAGGTCCTGAGTTCAATTCCCAGTACCAAAACATTTAAAAAATTTAAAAAATCCTTTAAGTGGACATTCACAAAAATGAACCCAGGCACAGAGTATATCTCAGAACTAAATGTAAAATGCAAAGCTATACAACTCTAGGAGGATCACATAGGAAAAACTCTAGGAGATTTTAAGGATGACAATGATTTTATAACACCACAAGCATCATCCAGGAAAGAAAAAAATTGATACGTAATACTTCATTAAAATTAAGAATCATTTTGTTGAAGACAAACCTTTCTGTTGTACAAATACAGCTGAAATGCAAATTCCTGTCTGGAAGAGGTAACATTGAGATATAAAGTCATATAACTCCCCGCAGTGAATGTAATCATTATATATCGCAAATATGTACTAATAGAAATTAAAATCAAATACCAATTGTTTCAGTCTATGAAAAAATCATGCTAAGCTATGAAAGACTAATGGAGTAGCCTTACCTCTGCTGGACTGTGCCAAAGTCATGGTGGGCCTGGGGGAGAGAAAATAAGGACAGCATCCTGATACCTGAATAAAAGAAATAGAAAGAAAAATACGTGTGAAATGTGCAAGGAACAAAGCCTCATCCTAGGGGCTGGGGATTTAGCTCAGCGGCAAAGCGCCTGCCTGGCAAGCGCAAGGTCGTGAGTTCGGTTCCCGGTACCGGAGAAAAACCAAAAA